AATCAATCAATCAATCATTCAGCTGTAACACTTGCGGTGGCTGCCTGCCATGCACCTTGAAAGAAATATGAGGGCTGAAATACTGTCAGGTTGCCCAAGCCTAGACAGGAGAGATCGAGAGGCATCGGGTTTGAATTCAGCTGTAACACTTGCGGTGTCCAGCTGCCATGCACCTTGAAAGAAATATGAGGGCTGAAATACTGTCAGGTTGCCCAAGCCTAGACAGGAGAGATCGAGAGGCAGAGGTCGGGTTTGAACCACGGACCACGTTGTGGATTGCGGTTTACCCGCCCTGTCGTACGCAGCAAGTAAGGTGCCCCAGATGATGGCACTACGTGACGGCCTATGTGGTATGATAATATTTCGTATTTTGGGAGTCATGTGGCTCCTGTGCAATGTAACGGAAGCATGAGAGCTGAGATACTGTCCAGTTGCTCAAATTTAGAACAGTTGGAAAGCCAGGTTTGGGTTTGAATTACAGAACTTCTGATCAACAGTTTCGCACCCTAACCACTAAGTTGAGTGCGATCAAAACACACCACTTGTGTTTACGGGTCAGTGTTGGATGAATTCATCTGCCTTGGTAGTTGTATACGTCCTACCAGACTGCCATAAAGATCACTTCTCGAACACTCAAAATGCCTCGCTGACATGTCGTTTGAAGAAGGCACAACCACTGAGCTATATGGAGTGGGTACGAATGGGAAGATCATTTGTATATTCATCGTTCCCTTGTTTTGAAAAGATATAGGATGAATAGGCTCAGGCAAACAAGGAGAGGACACCCGAGTTTTTTATGCAAAAAAAACTAGAAGACCACTCTAACGGATAACTGCTAAAAAATAGAGACGTACCATCTTGGTCACTAGAATGGTTTCTCTAGAATGTACGACGGGACGAAAATGTGGGTTTTAAGAGAGGAAGCTTGTGGGCATAATGAATAAAATAGTGGTCAGCAGAACCAACGGAAATTAAGGTCACAACCTAATCTGATATATAGGTTTGAGCAGCGTCACCTTGGCGGCCAGGCACTCGGATAGGGAAAGCGACAAACTAGGTAGGCAGTTGGTGAAATAGGAGACGAACTCGTGGCCTGCAGGTTCTGCGAGAAAACGGAAGGTACTTTCATTGTGGATGGTTTGGACACCAACTAGGGGTGAGATGACTCAGTGGTTGCAGCGCGATGACCGCAAGGTCCGTCGTTCGAACCCAACCTCCGCCTATCGACTTCCCCTGTCTGGGCTTGGGCAATCTGGCAGTATCCCAGTCCTCGTGCTTACTTTGGGTGGCATGGCAACTAGGCACCGAAGGGATGTTACAGCTGGACGAGTTTGTGGTGGCTTGAGTCAACTCGGAAGCTTGGGAGTTGCCCATTTGAGTAATTTTCTTGGACTTCTACTCACTAACAGTTGCATACCATGCTTCATACTTCACGACTTTTTCCAGTCATTTTGTAAGTTACCTCCAGTCTTCTTGCACGGACATGCGAACTTTCTGATAACACTTACCGGCTCAGGAGAATAAGATGGTAGCCTACGAACGACCGTCCTAGGTGCCTCCATATTAAATGCTGACCCCTTCGTAGTACTCTGTGCGCATGTTGCTTCAGATACCAAGGACACCGAAGAAATCGTCTGAAAAACCTTGAAAACCATTCAGTGAGCCCATTTTCTAAGTCATTCTCTAAACATAACTTCGTCAGTTCTTTGTGTTTTTTAGTTGGTCGGATTTTTTAAACCTCTTTTCTACTTGCCTTCATCTGCATTAGTTTCATCGTCATTTCTGCTGAAAAGAAATTGGAGTTGAGGGAATGCAAATAGTTTACATATACCATCCTCTCGAGGCCCGTTTCGTGTTTCCATTGCGTAGAGAGTGCTTATCCTCTCAGCCGCCTCCTAGTCTTCCTGGACGCATTCGTAGTGTGGTTGGGCGTTTGTGCTTCTCATGGTCACACCGATCGCTCATACGTTCCAGGCATCCATCACTGCTGCAGGGTCTTACCAAGACTTATACTCCTGTACTTCCGATCCCAAGAGATACTTACTACCCAGAAGGCACTTGAAATGCGCCACGAGCGCTTGACAACCTTTGTTAGAGGTTACTGGGGCATACTTTGTTGCAAATCATTTCCTGTCATTGGTTTCTTGCCGTTGTATTGCATCTGAAACAGTCTACAGTTTCGATATCAATTCAGTATTGTTGGTCGGTGTCGATCAGCCGATCTCTACTGCATATTGCTCATCTGACACTTGAGCTGGCGCTGGATCTACGCGATCGCGCTTACGCATCATTAGTGCTACAGTTACTGGCTTCCATTCCATGACCGATCGCCGCGTGAAAGGAATGGATCCGCCACCAGGCCCATCGATCTATGCTCCAACACAGCAAAACAGCGGGGCTACGAAAATGTGTTTTGTCTGCAGCGTTCTAACCCATACGTTGCTAGTCAAATGGGATGATCACAAGCCGTAACTATTGATTGTGTTTCGCCTTTTATTTCAGATATCGCTTGCAATAGAGGCACAATGAATTTCGCCAAGTTTCTGACCCCTTTCGTTCGACGTGAGTGACTACAATTAACTGGTAACCATAATTCTCTCTCCAAATTCAGGAGTTGGTAGTCGCTCCACCGGCCGTATGGTATGTGTTGCTTTGAGCACCACGGGCTTGGCTGGTGTTGCCTACACCTACATGAACCACACTCCCACGACATTTCTTTCGAATCACGCTTTCCCTCTCCTAGCACATTGTGCTGCTAAGGTCGACCCACAGGGATCAGTATGTGGTACTTCCGTTTTTTCTAAAACTGCCTCCATAGGTCATCACTGACACAAAGAATCATGCATTGTTTTTAACGATTCATCTCAAACCAGGTGCATCGACCCAGGCTTGTCTGAAAGCAGTCGGGCAGTTGCAGGTGAGTGAGTCAATAAGTAGGCAGTTGGTTGTTTGGTTGGTAGGGTTCTGGAACCCTATTCAAGATTCGATGAGAGAGTGCAGCATTTCGCTTTCAGGATTTGGGCCATCCTAAGGTTCCGAATGGTACTTCCTAAAGTCGACCAGGTGTCCGAAACTCGGAGGGTCAAATATTTGCGCTCGCCTTATTTTTCTCCAATCTAATCGATTTATTTGCGGTCGACAGCGATTGTTACGAGTTTTTGTACCCTTAAGCAACCCTTTGAATTGGTTGACTAAAGTTCAGCTATCGCAGCACTTTGCCGTGACAATAGGTTTCTCGGTAGAACCTTCCCTGTCTTTAATGGTTCCTGATAGAGTCCTGATTGATGTGTGAAAATTTCATAAGTTAAATCCTATCGGCGATTTGCTCAGTATATTTTGGTGACGAGTGAGTAAGCTGAATTCTGTGTTCTCTTGCGGAATTGCGTACTTGTAGCCTCTGTTAAACATCGAGTTGTCACTCAGTTTTAGTGCTTTAAGCAGCTGGTTGGAGCGATTGACTGTTGTTTAGCATGCAGTATCTCTGTGAAGTCTGGTGGCGGTTCATCCGACCTTGTGCTTCCTTCGAATGGCACTGCAGGCATGCACCGACAGAGTTACAATGAACGATTATTATTATTATTATTATTATTCTGCGGCAGATCTACTTCAAAACTAGTACCTGAACTTACGTGCAGTTTACTGGGTTTTCTTGATTCAAATCCCTCCCTTCTTTCCCATTGTTTTTCAATATTTCGCCGACCGATCCAGCAACATGTTGATACAATCTGTCCACCTAGTATGCGGGATGAATCTGATGAAATATGGTTTGGTGTCGGATTCGGACCGGAATTTCTCGACCGGTTGAAGCCGAATGCCAAACCATCCGGACTGGCTCCCTATCCATATCGGTATCGTACTGGACCGTTGGGTGATTTGCCAAGCACAGGTTAGTTGTTCTGGGTATCCTTCATGTATGTGTTGGAGTCCAACAGCGTCATGCGATCAGTCTCTTCATGAATTCTGGCAAAGCAAGAAAAAAAACAATTTTCCGGTCATAGTGGATAGCAAGAAAAAAAAACAATTTTCCGGTGGAACATAGTGGATTTGGTTAGCTTGTCTGCTTTCAGTCACCCGCCTACAGACATCCACATTCAAGCTAAAACAAATCAAACATGTAATTAGAGTTTTGAGGCGCGTGACATGGGAAAACGGACAGAGAAAGAGGGAACGAGTGAACACATTTCATGGAAATCACCAGTCCTAGTAAGTTAGGGCGAGACTAGGCATAGCTTACTGATTACAAAGATCTGGCTGAATCCATCTGATAGTTGCAGATGCGCTAACCAACGGCCTAATCGTAGTCCACTGCACTGTGTTCGGTTTGAAGTCATTACACAGCTTCTTTTCAATCTATCTGGGTATTCAGACTGTGGCTAGTCTCACCTAACCTCAATGAGACCAGCTCACTCGTGGTCTATTTCACCTTCTTCGGAAGTTGTTGTATCCTACGTGGCTTTTTTTCTCCTGACCTGTCCATTACCACCCTTTCCCAGCTGTTTTTTCCCTCGAATCTGGCTTTATGTAGGCGGCTAACTTCGAGTGCACAAAATAACCGAATTTGTGTCATTTGACTGAGAAACTGCTCTTTTTTGATTCGTCAAAAACCGACAGTAAATGCACATTGTATCTCGACAAGTAATCAATTGTTGTTCAGGGCTGCTTGAGCCAACCTCCCGAAAGGGTACCACTCCATATAAGAACTTCCACCAACTGTCACAAAATCAAATGCCTTAAGTTTTGGTCCCATAACCGGTCTGACTCCACCAAGAATGATCTTCCAGTAGAAAAACGATCAAGGTTAAGAACCCATCTGTCCCAGTGTCTGGTTTATAAGGTTCGAATCTCTTTGTGACATCTGCGGTCAACTGATATGCAGTGATACGCATGGTGACCGCGGACACAGTTGGTTATTGGAATGAAGGACTGGCATTCGCCAACCATATGTCTTACATGGAAGTACTTGCAATACGACTTTAAACCGAAATCAACTGTTTACCGGCGTTAAGTACAAGTTCCGTGTGGAAGAACAAGCAAAATTCTCGAACGAGCGCCTCCAGTCATATCAAATTTTCTGAAGCAGCACGGCAATTCGAACAAACATAATTCAGCCTGGATAGCAATAACTCAAAGCCGTCTGAATAGATGTCTTTCTGGTCGTTGGCTTGTTCGCTGACCTGGGCAATTCGATTGCAATCGTTTCATCACCAATCAAGGTGGCATCATCAGTGTGGTAATGGGGAGCGTAGTGGTGCGTAGCGGTGGGTTAGTGGCTGTGCCTCGGTTGGTGGTGAAACGTTTGCAATCGAATCGCACAGCTCAGCGAACAAGCCAACGACCATCTACGCTACCTGAATTACCAACATTTTTCTCTTTAGAAAACCAACTCGAGCGTACAACGCTCAAAGAAACTCGTCGGTGGGAAAACTTCGGCTGCCGACAAGCCTCTACACGCGAACAATTACACTTCCTCCATGAATGTCTACGTAGGAACGTGCTTCCACCCATCACATACCGGCACTAGACCATCTGAAGGCGGGTCTCTAGCAAGACAGTATGGCAGACGAGTGGTTAAGTTATTCGTAACAGATGCCCACAATCGTCTCAGAAAATACGAAATAGATATCTTTCTGATTAAAACGTCTCCTACTAACAGGGCGACGCGTGTGCACGAGAATGGGTAGCCAATTTGGTGACGCCCGTACAGGGATTCGGTCCCTGGTCACCGAAACGGGAGTCCGAGATGTTAACCTCTGTGTTACGTGGGCCCAGTGGGGAAGCGCCAAATTCGTTACTCACTCAATTCGTTCCTGAAGAAGTGTATCCACAAACCCCTGGAGGAAAGGGAACCCCACATTTAGGGACATTTTAATTTCCCGGACTGGTGATTCTACCTTATTTTCAGGTGAGATAAAATTGTATACTCTCTGCTAGACAAAACGTCAGCACGAGTGGGGAAACCAAATTACTCGGCAGTTTTACTCTTTTCCGCTAAACACATTTTTTGTGAACAATGACCAACGGTGCCGGTTATCAAGGAAAGTCGCCTACGGAGATTAGGGAATATGTAGCTGAGGAAGTTCTGATTTAGTTGATAGCTCATTAATCCCAGTGAAACGGAGCAGTCATTCAGTTGCTACAGTATTGGCCTCGGAAACTCGTATCTTCTTATGCGACAATTAGTTCACACGTACGTGGCGCGCCCTGGGCTCCTCAGTGCCTCATGATTTGCCACTCTGGGCCTCATGACTTGGCTTTTTATCCTGTAAATATCTGGATTTCATGAACCTGTAGATTTCCCTGAGACTCTAAGAATCTGTCTACACATCACTTAAGGAGTTGCATCTGTTATAAATCCCAAACTGTCCTCTACTCTGTTGAACTAGTCATTCCAACGATATGGAACTACATTTTTCTGTCATGCAGTTGATTGGAATGTCATAGAACATGGCAAGGACTTTCAAAAGAGCTTTTGATGGAAGAAATGTACCTTGCTTATCATAGTCGAAGTTCATTCAGCTTTCGAGGGCGAGGGCCCCCACTTGGTAAGTGAGAGGATACAGCAGAAATGTCCATCTCACTTTCATGCGGTCAAGGTACGGTACCCCTTCTCTAGAGCGTCTCCTTGATAATGCGTAACTGCTTTGATCGTCAACCATGATTAAACTCCCCCAAAGTGAGTTCACCCGCAAGGCGAAGCAACAGACCTCCTGTCTCCCTTTTGGTTTGATTACCACAATACGCCCTTATGAGGACTTCAAGCAAACTGGTCAGACCACACAGCTTTGACAGCTTGTCGGTGACTAATTTTGAGGCACAAACAAGATATAATTGCTGAAATGCTCTCGAAAACAGTCAAAAAGCCAGGCGGGATTTCAAACACGGGTCCCCTAGTCAATTAGTCTCCCTTTACTGAATGTACACCCTCGAACTCGACTGTAAGGGTGCTTTTTTTGCTGATGACATTTAACCAAACATCACCGCCACTGAACCTGCTTTCTCCATACTATCTGGTTCAGCTGCTTTTTTGGGTTGTCTCGTCGAACTGGAGTTACATGAATCACCATCATGGTTCCTCATTTACGAACAAGTGATTCACTTTGGACAAGGCAACTGGCTGGTTTAGATGGCGTCCTCCTTATAAATACCTCCCCCGATGCTGCATTTAACCTATTCGTGTGGGGTAGGCAGATGACGACACTGCGGAAATCGTTGCGAGTTCAGGCATTCGCTCTATTTTTTTTCAATCTTGAACCAGACTGCGGGAAACTACATCCTCCTCTCCTTTCTCTCGCCCTATCTCTAATCCAGGAGGTGATATTTTCATTCATGCCAAATGTCACGAACGGGGCAAATTGTTCGAACTGTGTCAAGCTGTAGTCAACAGCTTTCCTACTGGGTCGATTGACAAATTCGAGGACATCTACGGTTGGGTTTATCGAGGTGGACGGGATTTGTCTGGCTTCATTGATGGTAAGTTGCTGCCAAGTGTGAATAGACATTAAAATCCCGGCACGGCAAATGTCTTCACTATAGTGACAACTGGCTTGATTCGCTAGATCCATCTATTTCCCAGTACGTTTCATTTCGCAGCCCGATGTTGAGTTGCCCTCTGGAGCGTCCGTGGTTATGTGGGGAACTGCTGAATTTGGTGCCCTTCGGGTATTTTACCGCCATTTAGCTTGTGAGAAACGTGATGGAATTGACACAAATAGTTGACAGGACGTTTTACATCAAAATATAGCTCCGTATGCTGAGCAAAATTGCAGTAAAGTGAGGCGACCTCGGGACAAACTTGTTCGATGTGCACGGAAACAGCGTTGTTTCAGTTAGGATTTGTGGGTCTCTTATGAGCTATTTGACTTTGCTTGTGTTCTTGTTTGTTCGCGACCTAAATGTTCCCGTGCAACTTGATAGTCTCCAGCCGTCTCACAGCGGGACCATTACGAGCAAGTAATTCCGACCGCCCCAGTAAACCGCTATCCCCCGTGCTCCGGAAATTAGCATCACGCACATATCCTAGGCTAGGTCATCGGTCAAGCCCAGTTCCGTCAGTTCAGTCAGATCAAGCAGGGCCCACTGATTTGGCGTGGCAACAGGGCTTGTGAAATTGCTCGGTTAGCGTGATAGTCGACTAGTACATATTTATTAATAGCACTATGTCTTCATTGTGCTACTCAGAGGGTCCTGCTCTGCTCAGTGAGAGTTCTCTCTTCCGAGAGGGTCGTGATAAAAAAAAACCATGCCAATAGAATATTGTCCCAGTGGAAATCCGCCTTCTTGGGGGATGCTGTGCTGTGTTCTAAGTGTTACGGAATAACTTAGAGGACTCTACAGGGCTTTTCTGTTGGCTCCTTTGGGCGCCAACTGGTTCTCGGAATTCAAAGACAAGCCCACCGTGCTAAATGTGCCGCAACAATCTGGACTGGGTGGTGCCTCGACTTTGATGAGGACATTTTGTAACGGAGTCATAAGAACTCATTCTGTGGTTATGTTAGTGGGAGAGTTGCAACTGCTGCAAGCTATTTCCCAACAAAATGACTTCCTGCATGCACCTCAGAAAAGGACTGACTGTTGGCCACAAAACACACCCCATGACTCACCGTGCTCTCTTGCGCGCAAAACATACCATGTCCAACAGTACACCTCCGTCAGTTTTTTCAACATGAGTGATATATTGCTGAACCTGCAGCTGTAATCCATTTTCTTCGTTGAGACCGATGCATAGATCAGGGACACTTCTCAATCTGGGTAACGAATAAAACCAACAAACAGAAGTTCATCTTTTGTTTACACTGTCCTTAGTAATGGGCTTGTGGTTTCACTCTACTGTGATATGGTCAGTCGAAGGAAGTAGCTACCATGCCACCCGAAGGAAGCACGAGAGCTGGGATACTGCCAGGTTGCTCAAGCCTAGACAGGGAAAGTCGAAACGCAGAGAGTTCGAATCACGGACCTTACGGTCAGTCAATTCGCACTCTAACAACCTGAACCATCTCGCCCCATGTGGTCACTCGTCAGCAATGAAGTTCATATTAGTGGTGTTGATAAACCAGCCTCGGAGGTGTTTGATATCCAATTTACCTTTATCCTGATTCGGCTGAATGGGTGGACTTGATTCAACATTGCTTTTACCTCGTACGCATCAACTCCATTTTATCGTATTGTTTGTGAGTATGCGGTGTGTGCTGCTACCGACAAAACGACATTAAGGGATTCTGTCTGGCACTTCATGTTTCGTGAGTGGTTAGAACCTTTTTCAGCATCATGTTTTGAATTTAAGGCATTAAGATAAACGTTCATGCACATTTGGAATGGAGACTTGTTTGCGGTATGCCCGACTCACACTTGGTGCGTGTCTGTGGTATCCAAACTAATCAGTAAGTCCTCTTCAGATCAATACACCAGATCAGCCTTGAGTGTCAATTAACGGCTCTTGACGGCTAGTGTGGTTGTCAAAATCTTGAATTGATGGGTAGGAGGAGTTTCAGATTAGTCCTGATCGCTTTTTGTTTCTTAATCTTCCACTTCAGGGTGCTTCACTTGATGATTCACTTCCGGTGCCTCTGGTAGATTTTCCTTGATCTTCGTGGGCATGTGAGTGTTGCGACGTAAGGTTAGGTGGAATCCAGATGATGACTACTCTTCCCTCTGATAATCGCATACCAACACGTGTTAGCTCCATTGACCCAAGACCGTTCTCCACACGCTTTTCAATTCCACGCCTTCTATTCTGTTAACCACTTGGGCCATCTCCCAAGTCGTTAGAGCGCGAATTTACTGACCGGAAGGTCCGTGGTTCGAACCCGACCTCTGCCTCTCAACTTCCCTTGTCTGGGCTCGGGCAACCTGGCAGCATCTCAGTCCGCGTGCTTCCTTCCGGTGGCATGGCAGTTAGGCACCGGAAGGGTGCTACAGCTGAACGATTTCTGTTAACACTGGTGAATTCTATCGCCTCGGCTATCAGTCTGTGACTTGTACCGTAGTCCTCGCCTCAAAACCGCAACATTTTCTAAGTCTATTTTTTGTCCCGTGTTCAGTGTGTGTTCCGCAATTGCCAGTAATGCTTGATATTCATATACGTTTCTCGGCAGCCCGTTTATTTTTCTACTGTGCTCTCCGACTCTTATGTTTGGTTCCCTGGCCGTCTGTCCTATATAGACCTTGGTGCAGTCATTACACTTAGTTTTGTAGACACAGTCCCTGGTTCTGTTTACCGGGAGGCGATCCTTCAACTGCACCAGTGCAGAGCGCAGAGTGTTCCCCCTTTGGAAAGCTACTCTTATGTTAGCCGTGTTTAGAATTCTTCGAGTGACTTCCGATGTCCCTGGTTTATATGGGATCGGAACTAATTTGGAACCCCTCCAACCTATCGATTCAAGAATTTTTGGCACCCACACTAGCCGTTAATTGACACTCAACTCGACTCTAGTTTGAAGAGGACTTACTGGTTGGTTCCCCGTCTGTCTTCTAACCTGGCAAGTTTGGTGACCTGTTCATTTGGCCTGTTGAAGCTTTTGTGTGAAAAGCGAAACGTTGTCCAAATAAAAAAACTACCGATTGTTTACCGATTGTCTCCTGAAATTGCGAGGTGAATTCGCCTAGTATTATTCATTGTTACCTTGTTGCCCAATCACATTAATCGCTTAGCTGTAAGACCCTCTCCCGTGCCATACCACCCTAAGGAAGCGCGAGAGGTTACCCAAGCTTAGACAGCAGTAGTCGAGATGCCATTGTTGGGTTCTAACCACGGAGATTCTACCCAGGTGTTCGTGCCACCTTAACCACTGAGCTGTTTCGAGCCATGTTGCTAGTACGTAGTCATTTTCGAATAGCCAGTGTGAACTTTGAACCATAACTCTACCCTTACGTAATGGTCACGGGGCTTTTCATCCTACTCTTGATACGAACTATTTGCCGAACGCATATACATTTCGCACGTCAATCCCATTTCTTGAATATTCCCATGGTTTGAAAAATAACACAGTGACGAACATTAATGTTTTCGGGATCTCGTCATCAGGTCAGTACATATC